AATCTGGCCCACAGAGGAGTTTTGTGTTTTCAGCTTGGTGGGGACATTTAAATGCAGAGTTCCAGGTGACTAAATGTAGCAGGAAGCAGTTTTTACAGTCATCATTAGAACAGCAGGTGAGGGTGTTCCAGTAGAGAAGAACATGTATAGGAAGGCCTGGGATTAATATGCAAGACCCTTATTCGGAATCCAATAAAGAGTTTAGAAATAAAAAATGCAGTAAAAATAGCAATGTGCTAATTACTCAACTTTGAATAAAAAAAATGTTGTTTCTATCAAATTCTTCTTCCAGAACTCTCTTGAGATAGTTATGCAATGCCAGTTTTAAACAGCCTGTCTACAGGTCATATTATGTTTGATGTGGCACATCCTGCACGTATTTCATTCTCATTAATTTCCACATTGGCACATGGTGAATAAAAGAATTTGTCTCACAATTTGGCTGCTTTTACTTTTAAGAGAAAAAGAAGACAAAAGAAATACCAAGATGGAAGAATAGCCTTTCCTAAGCCACCATGATTACCAGCAACTTCCTAAATTTGTGAGATTTTGCCTAGTAATATTATAAATTCAAGTGCTTGACCCACATTTTATAAAGACTTACCATTTGTAATGAAACTTTGTTTTTATGTACAAGAATCATTTTCTTATCCACAGGATCAAACAGAAATGACAAGTGCTCAATTTGAATGTCAATACTGCACGGTATCCCTTCTTGGGAAGAAGTATGTACTCAAGGATGATAATCTATACTGTGTCTCCTGCTATGATCGGATCTTTTCTAACTATTGTGAACACTGCAAAGAACCAATTGAATCAGACTCTAAGGTAGGTATCACTTCAGTTGACAGTTACTGCTTATGAACAGTGTGTGACTTCTTCAGAATGTCCCTTTTCTCTCCATGTTGACTTTTTACCCACACTTTTTACCATGTTATCATATCAAGTCACAATGTGTAGTACTGTGAAATGCATGTTTTAATCTCATGTTATCCTTAAAACAACTTTTTTTTCTTTTAGTATATGCATGTGTGTTAGTTTTTACGATAGGCAAAAAAAAATTAAAGAAGTTAAATTATTTCCCCAGAGTTTTACAACTCAATATTGAGTTACTTCTGGTACAGCTAACATATACAAAAATACATAAAAGAATTTGGAAGCTTAAAAAATTCAAAGCCTGTTCTTTCCAACTTAAAATTCTGCCTTGTCTCCCTTAGCCCTCAGACTGTGCCTTCCATCACAATCCCTCTTCCTTTATGGTTGGTATTTGCTTTCTTTCTTGCCTTTGCTTTAACTAAGGGTTGCTATTTGTTTGCTTGAAGTCTCAAGGGGTAATAAGATACTGTAACCTAAAAAAATAAAATGATTCCATGTAAAACCTCTTTTGTAGGTTATAAAAGGAAGATAGAGAAAAATCGACAAGTTCCAGTGAGGTTATATTTCAGTGATATTTAGAAGCCAGTCAAACAAGCCCAGAATTTTTCTCTTAATTACCCCAGAGAGTATTTCTACAGATAACAGTATCAACAACTTTCCCTCAAGCTAGTGGTACAAACTCCTGGCACTAAGCCCTAAGAATGTGCCATCTTGTCTTAGAAAATGGCTTGTTTCCTTGCAAGCACATTTAATTAATTTATTTGTTGTTTCAAAGGATCTTTGTTACAAAAACCGTCACTGGCATGAAGGATGTTTCAAGTGCAACAAATGCCGACACTCTTTGGTGGAAAAGCCTTTTGTTGCCAAGGATGAGCTCCTGCTATGCACTGACTGCTATTCCAATGAGTGTTCCTCCAAGTGCTTCCACTGCAAGAGAACCATCATGCCAGGTGAGACCTGAACAGAGCTGCTGGCTCTACTCAAGGAAATGCCATCATCACTCTTTGTGAAGCTTGCTTTCTCTGGTTCCCAACTCATCTATTCTTCTTGATCAAAATAAACTGTGGTGCTCTGTAGTTTTGTAATTTTATTGCAGGACTCAATATCTTATTTTCATAAAATCTAATTCATAGAAACATGTTGAGCCAGAGATAGAACTGGCAGATAAAGCTTGCACCAGAAACACAACCGAAAATGCTCTGATTTGGACATAATCAATGGTATTAAAAGGGATCATTCTTCATCAGACTTGGAGATAGTCCTCATTTTTTAATAAATTCATTCATTCATTCATCCATTAATTCATTCATTCACTCATTCATTGTATCTATTTTCTTTTCCATTGTGGGGAATGTCAGGAGCACTTTTGAGAACCTGTTCTCTTTCCACCAAGTGGGATCCAGGGATCAAACTGAAGTCATTAGGCATAGCAGCAAGCCCCTTTACCAGTTTTGCCTTTTCACTGGCCCAAGAGGCAACCTTTCATAGCTCTTTACAAACTGATATGAGGGGCATTGCTTTCTCTTAGGGAAGTAGAGTCCATGTAAATAATTTCACTTAAAAATAATGATAATTTAATTAAAATACACTTTTATTATTTCCCCCTCTTTATCACCTCCCTCCTACATTTGTTCCTTTCTCAAATTTGCAGTTTCTTCCTCATTAACCTTTGTTGTTACAGACATAAAAGCAAATAAGTATATAAGTACAGCCTGCAGAGTCTGTTCGGGGATTCCTATAGTTATGTGTGCTCTAGGACTGACCGTGTAGGATCAGATAACTAATCAGAGGCTCATCCCTAGGAAAAATAATCCCTTTCTAGGCAGCTGTTAGCTGTAGCTCATCACCTAGGGATAGGGCCCCATGAAGTTTCCCACATCTGTGTTAGAACATCAGCTGTTATTGGAATTGTTCAAGTCTTATTTAGGCAGCCATGATGTTGAGATTTCATGGGTATAAGTACTTTCTCATGCTAAAAGGCACAATCTCATGGCAGACTTTCTGTTCCTCTGGCTCTTAAAAACTTTCTGCCCTCTCTTTGCCATGTTCCCTGGATTTCTGGTCCTTTCCTATCCCTGTGGACAGCAGCATAAGAACACAAATCAATCAACCCTGCCTCATAGCCCACTAATCACAATTACTCCTACCACTACTATTATTAGGAAGTCAAATAAATTCAGAAGTCATTCCCCCAATATGTATCACGGGAGTAGTGCCCTGGGCATTTATAAATATGCATCTAATGACGGCTATGACTCAATCTGTCTGAACCATGAACCATTCCAAACCTCTACATGCAGTTTTTTCAGAAATTGCAGGAGTTTTCTGTGAGTGTTTTACTCTTATCAATCAATGCAGAACTGTAGCCATTTTTCTTTTCTTTAAGGAATATCCCAGAAACTACAAACGGGTTTTCTAAAATATTTTTACTATTTATTTAGTAATACAGTTTATCATGATTATACTTAAAATACTTTAAATAATTGAGGTATGTTTTCTTAAAGAAAACACAAGTATGCCTGGCTTACTAACAGAGTCTTACTTTGGGTTCCAGGTTCTCGAAAAATGGAATTTAAGGGCAACTACTGGCACGAAACCTGCTTTGTGTGTGAGCACTGCCGACAGCCGATAGGAACCAAGCCTCTGATCTCAAAAGAGAGTGGCAATTATTGTGTGCCATGTTTCGAGAAGGAGTTTGCTCACTACTGCAACTTCTGTAAGAAGGTAACTATCTAAAGATGGTAAAGGTATGCAACCTTCCAGAACACTGGTTTTTAGCTGCCTTATATATTTGGAATGAAGCCATCCCATCGTGCTCTAATGCATGATGTTACCTTTAAATTTCAACACATCCCAAACTGAAATTCTCACAATGAACACGTCTTACTGTTTTTAGTAGCCATAAAATTTCACCTTAAATCATGGATCTTATATTCAATAACAGGTGATTTTACCTCCCAGTCCCATTCACTGCCTTGGAGGAACTTTGTTCTGGGACAGGTACGTTTCTCTTTGCTTCCTGGAAGACAATTTTGATCCATATCAACTGTTTCAGAGAAATATGGAACAGGTACTAGGAAACCTGCCTACTATTTTCTAGTAACTAAAATCTCTTCTGGTCTTGAGGCTTTGTGTTATCAAGGAGAAGATTGGTAGGCTTAAGTAGGTGACATATTATGAGGGAAATCCAGTTTGTGTGGAGACACACACACACAAAAAAAGCCCCAAAGCTGCAATTTCCTCATTTCCCACTCCAGCAAAAAGCCTTCTCACTTGTTTCCCCACGCAAAGTACAATTTCCAGAAGAGAACATTCATTTCTTAGAACTAAACATGGCCTAACATTTAATCCTCTATGCTTTTATGTGAAAAGCAGCTCATGTCCATCATCTTGATGAAGTCTGTCAGTATTCAAAATATATGTACCGGTATTCTCAAAGAATTAAAATGGCACTGTGAATTGTAGAACGCTGAATCATGACAAGGGTTGGGCGCTGCCTCCTGGACACTGTGAGCCTTTAACAGTCTTGACAGCTCTGGAAACTACTGTGTATTTGCATTTGGACAGCTGGAAAGTACATTACACTTCCTGCAGGTGCATACACAAGCATGAATGTATACGCACATGGTGCAGTAATCTGCTAGTATTGGTGATACTAGTGTTTGTTGCCTATGGAACAAAGTAACAAATACACTTTACAGAGTTATAATTATTATAGTACATCCTAATGGTAGCTGAGAGCTTCTATGAATAGTGACCAGACAGGAAATCATCTACTACCTGAATGTCACTATTACTTTTCCAGAAATGCTGGCTTCTAAAACGATTGATACGAGCAACAATCAAAACCCATGCCATGACCACATGACATAAGAAGCCGTATGGCTTCCAGGCTCAATGGAATTTATAGCACATGCTGGAAACAAAATAAGTGGGCTTATCATATTCTGGGAGGTTTAAATCTTAGGTCTCAGCTTAGACTAAAACGTTAATGAAATTTGTGGGAAGTGTCATGTAATTTATTGGTCACAATAGAGTCTTCCTTTCAATGTTGTTATAGAGACTCAAGATGCTTGGGACAAGTGCTAGGTTTTCGAGGCTATGGAAGACGGTGGCTACATGAAGGACAAGCTTTGATGTCATCCAAGCTTATGAAATGAGTTGTAGACTGATGATGACGCAGATTACTTATTATTTCATTTGTAAACCACTCTTTAAGAAAAGCTGGCTATAAGTGATTGTGATCAAAGCTAAAGACAGAGACCCTGTCCAATTCAAGCCCAAAACAAAACAACTTAAGTAAAGCCAAGCTTCTTGAAAACCAGGCCTTTAAGTTTCTTTCATTTTGTTCCACTAGAATTTTCTACTAAGTACCTGGTGGCTCAAACTGTAAGGGCTTCAGATTCTAATTCTTCAGGGTAAAAAATAGAATTGAATGTGTCATTCAGTTCTTTAGCTGTTGTCTATTGTGTTCAAAATCCTTACTGTCAGACTGGGGAGATGGTACTGTGGGGGAAGCTCTTGCCATATAAGCATGGAAACATGAGTTCAGATCCCAGCACCAACATAAAGTTCAGATGGCACAAATTGTGACTAGAGCCAGTCCAGATGAAATGGAGATCTCAAAGTTCAGTGAGAGACCATCATTAAAAAACTAGGGTGGAGAGTATAAACAAGGACATTTAATGTCAGCTTCTAACCTCTACACAGATACAAACACACATTTACACTCACACACATGCACACACACATAGACATACACACGAGTGCACACAGACACACAAACACATGCACATGCACACACATGCACACTCACATTCATGCTCGCACACACATAGACATACACACATGTACACACAGATACACAAAGGCACATACACACATGCACATACACACACAGACATGCACAGACACAAACTTAAACACACACATGTGCAAACATAGACAAAAATACACACATGCATATACACACAGACACACACACAAAGAGAGAGACACACAGACAGACACACACAAGCATGTACAGATACACAAAGACACATTCACACACAAGCACACACACAGACAGACACATGCACACATATACACACACTGACAGACACATGTCCACACACAGACACAAACATTCACTCACACATTGACACAGGTACACAAAGACACACACATGCACATACACACACATTGTTTCTGTTTCTACTTTGCCAGAAAAGAAACTTTTACCAGACTAGATATTAGACTTCATCTTTGCTGCCTATTTCTTCAAAAGGAATATAATCACCAGCAAACTTTTTTCAAATGTTCCAGAGCTCTAGGATATATTATTTTTCTGGGAATCCATTTTTGAAGTTTCAGATCTTTTAAACACTGCCTACAAATCATTTGACCAAACAAATCAAAGGAAGAATGAGTTCACCTGTGCCTGCTGTCAAGCATTTGAAGTCAATAGGAGGCATTTTAAATTGCTTTACTTCTCATATACCACTGTGTTCCTCATTTACTTATTCAGAACAGTATAGTATGCTTTTTCCTTCTTAAAAAATTGACTCCTATCAAATATCCTTAGTTTCGGAGAAACTTGATATAAGGTCAAAGTGTGTTTAGAATATTTTTTCTAAGACCTGTATGATAGACAAACAATATGCCTGTTTGTCAGCAAACAAAGAAGGTTTATAGCAGGCTTATGTTTTTAACATCAAGTAAAACTAATATAGAGCTGTATCAGCCATCTTCAACATGACATTTCCTTGCCCTTCGTAAGAGATAGACATGAATATATTCCAGTTTCTTCGGCGACTCTATGAGGTCAACATCCGTTGATTTAAAGAACAGATGATTGTAAAGTAGCTACACGGGAAGATTTACCCAGTATTTATCAACCTGGTTCTCAAAAAGATGTTTCAACCTTTCAAAGAACATGAAGATCAAACTGAGTTTTAAAAGAATGTATTATGGGCTAGCTGAGTGGTAAAATGTCTCCCTGGCATGCACAGGGCCTTGGGTTCAATCCCCCAGTGCTATGAAAGCATTATAAAGAGGCAGTGGTGGCTCATGCCTTTAATCCCAGCAGTTGGGAGGCACAGGCAGGCTGATCTGAGTGAGTTCGAGGCCAGCCTGGTCTACAAAGCAAGTTCCAGGACTGCCAGGGCTGTTACACAGAGAAAGCCTGTTTTGAATACAAAAACATACCTCAGAGTAAAGGGATGGGATAAGATATTACAATCAAATGGACCCAAGAGACAAGCTGGCTATTCTAGTATCTAACAAGGTAGACTGCAAACTAAAATCAATCAAAAGAGGTGAAGAAGGTCATTTCATATTCATCACAGGAAAAATCCATCAGGAAGAAGTCTCAATTCTAAACATCTATGCCCCAAATACAAAGGCACCAACATCCGTAAAAGAAACATTAAAACTGAAATCACAAATAAGACCTCACACAGTTATAGTGGGAGACTTCAACATCACCACTAGACAGGACCACCAGACAGAAACTTAACAAAGAGACAAAGGAGCTAATAGAAGTTATGACCCAATTGGGATTAACAGACATCTATAGAACTTTCCATCCACACACAAAAGAATATACCTTCTTTTCAGCATCACATGGAACCTTCTAAAGAATCAACCACATACTCGGCAACTTAACAAACCTCAACAGGTACAAAATAATTGGAATAATCCCCTGTGTCTTATCAGACCACCATGCTTTAAAGTTAGAATTCAAAAACAATACAAATTGCAGAAAGCCTACCAACTCATGGAAATTGAACAACTCGAAATTGCACCATTGCTGGGTCAAGGAAGAAATAAAGAAATTAAAGATGTCCTAGAATTCAATGAAAATGAAAACACAACATACCCAAACTTATGGGACACCTTAAAAGCAGTACTAAGAGGAAAGCTCATAGCTCTAAGTGCTTACATGAAGAAACAAGAGAATAGTCACCCCAGAGAGTTGATTGATTCATATGGCATCATATAACCTTCATCCAGCAGCTGGTGGAAGTAGAAGCAGACACCCATAGGTAAACACTGAACTGAACTGAAATCCAGATGCAGAGAAGGAGGACTGATGAGCAAACGGGTCTACACCAGGCTGGTGAAACTGACAGAAACAGCTGACCCGAACAAGGGAAAACTCTTGGTCCCCAGACTGATAGCTGGGAAACCAGCATGGGACTGATACAGACCCCCTGAATGTGGGTGTCAGTGAGGAGACCTTGGAAATCTATGGAATCTCTTGTAGTGGATCAGTACTTATCCCTAGCATAGGAATAGACTTTAGGAGCCCATCACTCATGGAGGGATACTCCCTGAGCCTAGACATAAGGGGATTGGCCTAGGTCCTATCCCAAAGAATATGACAGACTTTGAAGAACCCCTATGGAAGGCTTCACCCTCCCTGGGGAGCAGGAAGGGTATGGGATGGGTAGGGTGTTAGTTGGTGTGGGGGGCAGGTGAGGAGGAGAGGGAGAGGGACCTGGGATTGACATGTAAAATAATTTTCTTTCTAATAAAAAAGGGAAAAAGAAAACAAAAACAAACAACAACCAAAACCCGTAAGAAACTGAGGCTCATTGTATGTTACAGATTCATGACTTCATGCAGAGCTTTTATGTTCATACTAGGAATCTGAACTCTGTACACCAACTGAGACTTGAAATTGAAAACTCACCTGCAAGCACTTTCCTTCTTCAAAGTCCAGTAGTATAATGGCTTTCCAACATGGCTGAGCACACAGATGGTAGAGTATGTGCAAGTTCCATGCCACCTCTCAGTGACTGTAGCAAGTAACCCCATCATCCATCACTCAAGGACTGTTCCTCTACAGAAAGACCAAGTCTATGCAATGTAGAGGTGTTGAGAGTATCTGGAAAATGTCAACATAATCCAGTACTGCAGCTGAGGGTAAGAAGTGATTCTTTGCTCACATTGAAGGTGCTTATCAGCTCTACCCAGGATCTCCACAACTGAGTCTTCTCAGACATGCTATGGGCTATCAAGAAAAAGTACTATGGTTTCTGTTTTGTTTTCATCCTGTTTTCCAGCATTCTTCAAGGTCAGATGTTGACATAAATGTGTAGGGTACAGCCAGGCTAGCCCTAACCGAAGATCTTTGGAGATAAAAATAAGACTTACAAAAAGATGAAGTAAATCAAGCACTTGCTTCCTTTATGATCTTACCATGTCCAAGGGGTTTCTGCCTCTTTTCTGATACATTCCTTAAGAAAATTGGACTTACTTTCATTTTTGAGGTTCTGTATAATCCCCATAACATTTGGCTTCTCATATTGTTTTTTCTAAAAACTTAGAGGTTTGCAAGGAAAACAGACTCCCAACACAAGGTGGTACAGAGTTCAGAACACCAAACGTGGCACAGAGAAGCTTTGTGAGGATGTCTGAATTGCAAGGGGCCCACACTTATTGCCTGATGCTGATGCTTTTGCAGGTGATAACTTCTGGTGGGATCACCTTCCGTGACCAGATATGGCATAAAGAGTGTTTTCTGTGTAGCGGCTGCAGGAAAGAGCTTTGTGAGGAGGCATTTATGTCCAGGGATGACTTCCCATTCTGCTTGGATTGCTACAACCATCTTTATGCCAAAAAGTGTGCAGCCTGCACCAAGCCCATCACTGGTAAGTGCTTCAGCTCACCATGGTTCTACCATGATGCAGTTAGAACAATGTAAACTGCTGCCTGGTTAATTTAGGAAATGAAAATAAAAACTTAATTTTTCCTACTGTATTTCCTTTTGATATGGACACAAGCAGATACTTATAAATTTAAATTTTACATGGACCCCCTCAAAGAAATGATGGAATGTAGTTTGAGAGTTTGTACATTTTAAAAAGTAAATACTAAACCTAATGGTATGGTTTCTAAGGACAATAATAGTCCAAGGAAGGAAAACAGATAAACTAAAAGGTCAGACAATGCCCCAATAAGGAGGCCTAATTGGAGACTCAGAAATTTCAAGGGTAGATGGATATTACTGAATCAGAATCCTACTTAATTCCAACAAAAGCCAAACAGATTTAAAATCAAAAGGTTTTAATTAAACTATTCTGTAAAATAGCCACAGCTGTAATTAGAGTAACGTAAAACAGGAATTAATTTAATTTCTTTTTAAGGTGCTTTAAACAAATGTATTACTCCTTTCTCTGTACTCGCAGCAACTTGATTTTGAAAGAAAACAATGTAGTATTCTACTAACAAAGTAAAGCACATGTGATGTGATTTAAAAAAAAATTACATAGATGATAAATTGATCCATGCTGAGTAACTTCTCACAGGGCTGGAAAAGTGCAGTTGTGTTTTCCTCAGAGCCATCTCTAAAATGTTAATCCTGTGGTAAAGAGGCTGAAACCAGCATGAGACTTGACAAACCCAGAAGCTATTCTTCCAGGCAATTTATTGTCATTAATAATGTGACAGAGCTATACTTCCACTTTCTGTTCTCAGTACTCTTCGATCACATTTGAATTTTTAGCTCATATTGCATAACATCTTTTCTCCTGTGACCTCAGATCTCTCTCTCTCTCTCTCTCTCTCTCTCTCTCTCT